AATACATCATTGGCAGATTGTTATGTCTGGTTTTGGGAATGGAGGTAAGAACATTTTCCTGCCATTGATATTAATACAGGGAGTCGTTTAAACAATAATCTTTAACAAACCTGATCATGTGTACTTTTTCCTTGCTTTGCATTGTCTCAATGTGAATGTTTCAGGTTAAACCTTTTTATTAGAACACATAATGAACACATAACATCCATGATAACGGGAAAAAACTTACGAATATTGGAGATCAAGTAATTCAACATCACTAGTGATTGTTGCACATAATGAACTTGAAGTCCTCTCTTCCCTTCATCCAGATTTCCGAAGCATTTCCTCAGAAGGGACCTCCAGGGTTGCTCCAGCATGTACCTTGTCTGGTTTCACTTCTGCATCCCAAACGAACAAAGGCAATCGAACAGTAAGCTTGTGCAACATTAAACCATGTAAAATTATCTCATTTTATAGAATTAAGAACAGAAGCCATGACTGAGGCATTTTAACGAACACATGGCATGCAAGGAAAAAGGAATCCAAATTCCACTCAAACCGACCAATGAATAGCAGTTGAATTCAAATACAAATGAAACTGAAGAGAAAGGGATGCAGAATAGCAGTACCATAGCCGCCACGGTCGTTGAGCTTGGCTTGGACGATCATAGTGGAAATGAAATGGGAAGCCTCGCGTGCCTCCTCGAGGTATCTCTGAATCTCAGCTTCGGAGGTGACCTGACGATTCTCCTCGAATTTTTTCCGAATCTCGGCTGCGGAGGCATTCAACATCATTGTGTCGCCGGCGAATGATTTCCTGGTGGCTCTCAGCAGAGCCCTGTATGCGCTCAGCACTTCTCCCCTCACCATCTCTCTCACACTCTCCGGTCAGAAATCTCTCAACACTCTTCGGCTCTCGTCTCCGGTTGAATAATGAAGAAACCGATCCAGTAGACGGTAACTGCTTATATATTTTCGCGGTTTGCACAGACGGCGGTGGAAATGGTTTGTTCGTTGGTAAATATTAATATTTCAAAGGCGGCCCTTAGCTTTTTGCCTCTAGTCAGTTCAGCCACCTGTCCTAACTTTAGCAGTTAAGTCCTCATTTTTTAATTTGTTTAACTTACATCCCGATTCTGGAAATTTTTGGTTGAGAAATGAAATTATCACACAAATGAAAATCAAACAAAAGAAAAAGAAAAAAGTGTCTTGCAAGATGACAACATCTCTATAAAAATATCATATTTGAATTAATATTTTATAAAAATTAACATTAAATTCAAAGTTTTACTTATATAGATTTTGTTTAACTTTTTAAATATTTATTTCATGTAACGACAAAAAATTTTCGTATTCCTAATTCTTGTTAACTAATTTCATTTGATAAAAAAGATTCAGTTGTTATATATGCTATGAAAAATTTTTATCTAAAATTAAAATCTAAAATGTTTAAAAATCAAATGAAGACAACCAAACTTAAATTGAGCAATAAAAACCAAAAATTTAAATCCAAAAGCATACAATACTGACTTCGAATATATTAAAACAAATTATGTTTTATTATCAACTAAAAATATTGTCACTATGTTTATCAATAAAAATATATATATATATTGTCACCATGTAAATAAAACATATAAAAAATAAATGATTAGATTTATTTATGCAATCAACATTCATACTATGAACTGCCCCACAAATCCATAAAGCCTCAGATGTTCTATGATGTACTATGTAGATGTTTGTGAAGCACTGCTGCATATTCACCAAATTGGATGTCAGTAGGAGGATGAAGGTCGAAAACATATGATATGGGTCTTGATTGCACCATTGGCTTGTAAAAGGTGGATCTGTTTGGCAACTCTCCAAAGCTTGTTTCATCAAATGGGAATGACTTGGTAAGGAAGAAGAAGCTGTCTCTTGCCAGCCTTTCCACCTGAAATGAGAAAATCATTTTCATGTCACCATGAACAGAGGCTACTTACCAAGGACTAGAATGCAAACACAAATTGAGAGATTTTGAACCCAGTAATGACTACATTCCAAGAAATGACAGGACCATGGTGCAGTAACGAAGATTACCTCTAGTAGTGAAAATTTGATGTTGTTAACAGTAAGGATGACCTTCAATTCATGGAGGGCATCACCCAATATTCGGAGGGCTAGATACTCAAAGAAACTCTGCACAAGAATTTTCTGCTTATCCAAAGTTTCGTTATATCCATCTAGACTAGGAAACCAAAGGACAAGCTTGACCTCATCCCATGGAATTGGGTTTTCCACTCCATCGGAAATGATGGTCTGGTAAGGGTGGTGGAGGCCCCAGTGGATTCTGACCCCAGACAATGATACCTCATTTATGTATTTTTCTGTCAGACAAGTTGTAGAGATAATTCTAGATGGATCATAGAAACGAGCAAGGTTTGAGGTGAAATGCATATCAGTGTCATCCAACAAAAGAACGCTTCCAGCTGCAGGTGCTGGCAGTAATTGCAGAAGGGACATAGCATTAGCAGGACCATCCTCCGGAAGGCATGTGGTTGAGCCAGGTAAGGTTGAAGAGTGATGAACATCGTGAGAAAATGAACATGATTCTCCATTTCTACAACCCTGTTAAACCACAGTCAAGGTCATAAGAAATAATCAATAGTATAATGCAACAGAAAACAAAGACTTTGACAAAGAAAAGTTCATCCTTGAGATGCAAAAATACCAAAACAGGAACCAAATAACTGCCTGCTATGGTAACTATCTTAATAATGCTTCCACAGGCCTTTCCAATTGACTCCCACATGCACCATGCTAATAAAATGAATCCAAGACAAGCTAACTCAATCCACACACACACACAAAAAGAAAAAAAAAAAAAAAGAAGATATAATATAGAAAAAGCCTCAGAATGGGGCTTATGAGATCCCAGTTTTCAAACTGTCTCACTAGAAGGTAGTATCATAAAGTATTATTGTGTGAAGGTCCAAAATTATCTATGTAAAGTGAAGATACCTGCAAAGTGAAAAAGAATTTGCAGACAGGTCTTTTTGCTTCAAGAAAATGAGAGAATCTGCACTGGCTACCCATACTACAACATCCCTTGACAAAAAACACGCATAGAGGAGTACCTCCATTGTAATACGAGTCATCATTGCCAAAAATTGTATTGTGATTACCAGAAATGTCTCCAGCATACTGAGTTCGTATCTGTTAACATCACAAGAATATGAAAATCAATTAATAATGTAACAACAATTGCCCAGAATAAGCATGAGAGAGTCTTTATACCTCTTTTACAATGTCTGCCAACTTCTTGACCACGTCATTGGCTTGAAAGTGATTGGAAGCAACAAATGGTGTGGCAACACACTTCTTTGTTTCAGACAATTGATCAAGATGTTCATCATCTGCAGCAAGTGCTTCTGTTTCTCTACCTGGTTGACATAGAAGACAGGTGTGCTCAAATTCATACGGGTAATAGTAGCCCGGTAGACCATTAGATGCGGCCAGAAATTTAGGCCGAAAGCGGTGCACTGAATTTAGTATATCTTCATCTGAAACAGAAATTTGAAACGCACTTTCAAAAATTAATTTAGCAAAAATTACAATTAATTCCTTAAAATAGGACAAGGGGGAAAGAAGATTGGAATGATGACATGGATGACATATTTTACGGAACCAAACTTAACAGCAGACCAGACAAAATTATTTCTGAGTAGAGAAAAAGATGCAGGCATAATAGTTTGTTAAACTCATACACATTTCAGAGACATGGTGCAATGATGACTGCACAAGATTGTGGAAAGAACACCATTCTTCCTCAATCTTGTATTGCAATTGAGTTGTCGCTTTAATTTCCTCGAACCTCAAAAGTTGTTTCAAATGCTCAAGACGGTGCTTATCCTTTACATAAAGGCAACATGTTATATCTAAATTCAAAGTTCATTGAAATTGGAAAAGCCATTTCTAAACTAAGCAAATATTTGCATACCTTAAACACACGTTGCCAAAACTGAAATGCACATAAGTTTCCCATGAACTGAACCTCCTTTCGGCCAGTTATGGCAGTGTTGTTACCATCCCCACTAAAGTAGTGGTTTACATACTCTGTAAACTGAAGTTAAACATTAATTTATCAGAAAAGGACAAAGAATGCATCCAAAAACCCACAAATTTCTTTTAATTAATATTCAATACCAAAAGATCATCCCCAAAAGGACGAAGAATTGGTCGAGGTTCAGTATCCATCAATACACCCAACACAATGCCTTCACGCAACATTCCAACTTCCCCAAACCTGAGCACAAGCACAGCTGCATCAAAGGATAATGAGAAACTGGAAAGCAACCGCCCATAAAATGTAGGCTCATATCGGCCCCTTGGAGATGTTATTACTAGTGCTTTCAAATGAACAAGCAAATCCAATGCATTTGCGACAACTGCAGGATCTGGTGGGTCCAGAGCTTTCCGCAACAGCACTGACATAAAGAGACCAGCTATTAGGGACCATTCTAAGTGAACAAATCATCAGATACAGAATATGAGCAGTTAAGTATAATTTTACACACAATACCCACATTTCTAGCTAGATTTGTAACAAATGTTGGACCATTTATGTTGCCAGCTCTCAAACTACTAATGGTCATCAAACTTATAAATTATCAGTTTATAAGTAAAGATTCCATCCAAAGAATTAATAGGTCCATTTTCCATTTTGGGCAGCTACATAAGGAATCTATACGCCTGTGATAACAGCTGAGTACTACATATATAAAATAAGAATAACATACCCTTGGGATCATTAATACTTTTGGATTCAGAACAGCAAATTTGCAGCACTTGTTGTCGCAGCGACAACCTCAGTATAGCTGGACACTCATAATCTGCAAGCTCACTGAAAAATGATTTTGTAACTAACCGATATACATGGCCGTCACAAGTTCTACCAGTTCTCCCTCTTCGTTGCTCAGCCTACAGCACCATTTTAAAATGAGGAATCAAATAGAAGGGAAAATGATTAACCATTGAAGTTTCTTGAAATACCTGAGACTTAGAAATCCAAACGAGCTCAGTAGCATCTTTTTTCCCAGCAGGGTCCCAAAAGACTTGTAAAGAGCGGCATGAATCAATGACATAGGCAACTTGGGGTATTGTCACAGATGATTCTGCAATATTTGTTGCCAATATTACCTGCACAAAACAATACTTCAGACAAACACTCACATCCACAGAAGATATATAGGTGACATCTAAACTTGTGACAAATAAGAAATTATTTTTTCTTTTCTACCTACTCAAAGATAAACTCAATATGTAAGCAATTTAATGCAAGCTCAAAGGAAAAGAAAAGGAGTCAAGAAGAATACCTTACGATGTGACTTCCATATTTTCATAGCAGCAAGTGCTTGTTCCGTGTCGATGCTGCGGTGTAAAATGTGAATCTTAAAGGATAAACTAAAAGAGTGAAGAAGGTTCCACTGTTGCTCCAGGGCATAATATGTTGGAAGAAAAACCAAAATGCTCTTCTCAATGTCAGGCTCCTTTTCATGAATGTGCAATACTAAATCATGAATGAGTTTGTGCACTTCAGGCTTAATTTCGGCATCTGCCATAGAAGGGCTTGGACCAGAACAATATCTCAATGATATTAACTCTGAGCTTATTCCAAGAAAATCAGCCACCTGTTAAAGCATTAACATGCCAATGATATGTATCCATTATACCTACTATGCCAAGGACATTTTTACATGGAAAAAATGAGACCACATTCACCTAACCTACCCTTCATGATAGACTACAAATTTCAGCACAGTAAATAACCTCGTAAATATGATTTTATAAATACCATCCAAACAACTTTCAATTTAATGAGAGTAAATTTCCATTATTGCCAAGTTTATAAATTTAAGATCAAATATCTTTTAACCAAGCAATTACATACACTATACAAAAAATATTAAAAGTTTGACTGACCTGCTCAAGATATGAAACACTTCGCTGGAAAATGGCTTTCTGGTTTGAGCTTGGGATTGCCAGCACTTCGACTCTTTCGTGTCTACCGAGATCATTGAAGTATTCCCTGTATCTTGTAATATCAGCAGTTGCCGACATTAAGACCACCCTGGCAAATTTGTGCATTTATAAGCATGGAAAATACTTTAATTAAGAACACAAGCTTAACTAACATTTATCACAAGAAAACAGGAAAGTGAGAATTGAGAGCATTAATTGAATCATAATGTCAACCTGAGGTCATTGTTCCTAATTAAAAATTGCTTTATGCAAACAAGAACAAGGTCGGACTCAACAGATCTTTCATGCGCTTCATCAAGAATAACAACTTTGTACTTGAGAGCATTCGGCCCTTTATCTCGCATTTCCTCCAACAATACTCCAGCAGTTTTGAAAACTATCTTCGATCTGTGCAACAAAACAAAAATTAGCATGTAGGCATGCAAATAGAATAATAAACCATATTTTGAAAAAAGAAAGGCAACAATACCAAAAAGTCACTGGAGAAACCGAAGCACATTAAATTATGTCCCCAAACTTTTTACACCTATGATACCAGGTCTTTCATTTTTGGCCTTACCTGTTGTTGAAAAGTGACTGTTGAATCTAAACATTGGAAATTCTACCATAACTTAGGGATGAGAAACTGAATGAACAAGTAAATATATCTCTAACACTGCATCAAGATAGTTCTCCTCTAAGCCAGGTTACTAAACCTAATAATTATCCATCAGTTTTATTGCAATGGCAGTGAAGTACCTTGCTGAAAATAGCTTTGAATGACCAATATGATATCCAACCTCTCCACCCAATTCACAATTACGATATTTTGCAACCATTTTAGCAACAGCTACAACAGCAAACCTCCTTGGCTGTGTACACAAAATGGGAGCCAAGTTTTCTTCCAAGAGGAACTGTGGAACTTGAGAGCTCTTCCCTTTGCAAAAAGTAAAATTTAAAAAAAAAAAAAAAAAAAAAAAAAGCATTAGCAATTGAAAAAGAAAGAAGATTAAATAAAAATCAAACAAATTTCAACTCATATCAAGGATCAGCTAATGTTATATATGAAACAGATACATCTTATATCCATTCTTCTGTATAAGTAGAAATTTAAATTATTTACCAAATAAAATTGTTGATTGGAACCATATAACATAGCAGGTAGAGTTAGAATTTAATAAAGTCAGTAAAACAGTTTTTAGGATCCACCTGCTAAATGGTGGTTAAAGTACAAATAATTTACGCACTGATTGATTTGCCAAAAATGATTATACATTAAGAAGGGTATTACCCTATTCAGTTTGGTCCCGTAACCGTTATAGTTTTTCATATCAATGAAATTCTATATCACATAAAAAAAAAGTGCATAAGTGAAAAGCAAAATATTTAAAGTAGATGAATGATAATTGCTTTCTTTTCTCAAACATAACATCCCTTTACAATGAAGGTGTTTCCCTGAAATTGAAAAGAGTATGCTCTATCACACACTCTATCTCTAAATAATTTAACTCACATCTATGTATCAATGACATGAGTTATTTTAGCTGTAATTTCAAGAAATTCACTTTCCACAGACCAAACAAAAGGTTAACTCCATTCTAAACCCCCTGCAAATTTTAGCTGCTCATAAAACCGAAGGAAATGGAATAACAATAAAGCAGTCGGCAGTATGAGAAAATGATTTGCCGATCGAATTCGACATGCATAATAACAAACAACACAATCCAATGACTACATGAACCAGAGAAAACCTAAAATTCTTTCTATTAATATCATCAGCAACAAAACAAGACCTCATTGAATAAACTTAGCAAGTAACATCAACGATAAGAAGCAGAAGAAACGCAGAGGAAGAAAAACCAAGCAGAAAAGAGATAAAGGAACGGAAAATACCACAGCCGGTTTCCCCGACAATAAGCGTGACGCGATTCTGCATAACTTTCTCAACGATTTTCTCCTTGAAAGCCATCACGGGGAGATAACCGAACTTAGACAACGGTGGTGCAGACGAGAACGAAGAGCTGCACGACAATGTCGGAGAAGGTGGTGGAGACGACGGTGACGCCATTACTAGCTATTTTCAACCTGCCGGAAAAACAAAAAAAAAAAAGAGTCACACGGAGAGGCAGTACGATACAATGAGCGTGACTCCCTCTGCTGCCTTCCGCCAGGCTCTGGTCTGGTCTGGTCTCCCGCCTCAGACCTCAGTCTACTTGAAGAGTGATCAGAGAAGGTCGAGAGTACCTGAGACCGTGAAGAATGAGAGCGTGGTCAACCTGACTTCAAACGATCTGGCCAATGACTGTGGCGGACTCAGGGGAGGTGGGGGCTATTTATACGGAGTACGTGAAAAAGTTGGGTTTGATGATTTTAAATTTTCAATTCTTCCTTCTTAACGTCAGCTAAAAAGTTGGTCCAAAATGCATCCGGGAATTTCTGTGGTATTTCATTTTCACCCTATTTTGGTCAAATCTGAGCCGTACGATTAAGTAAAGTTGAATTTCTTTTGATTTTTTTGGTATATTTCCGGACTTTTTTCCTTATAAAAAAATGTTTTCCCTAAATTATAATCTTATACATAGGGTTTTAATTTTAAGGTTTTATTTAGTATAGTTTTGATTTTAGATTTTTATTTTTTTATATATTTAGTAATTATTACTATATTTAAATTAAATTTAACAAATTCAAATTTTTATAATAAATTTTTATTTCTAAATGTAATAACAATTACTAAATATATAAAAAATAAAAATTCAAAACCTAAAACCAAAACTAGGCGCCTAACATTTTTTAAGGTAAGTACATTTTTTCTATAGTTACATACTGCCTTATATAAATTGTTTTTCTATGGTTACATGTCATGGTCCATGTCATCATTCATGCTGTCTTTTTTAACCACGTTAGTAAAAGAGAGAACTCACAAAATGAATCCATTAACCACGTCAGTACATAAATTTGTTTAATTTTTTGTTAGTAAAATTATAAAGATTATATACTTAATTAAAAACTTTTAAAAAGATGGTATTCGTGATGAGTTACAAAAAAATATATATATATCTTCAATTAAAATTTTTTTTAAAATTTATATTTTTATCTTTACCGAATCTCCTAAGCATTTCGACTTGCAACTTTAACCATGATGCAAAGGTGTGGGTTCTGTAGTGACATGTGAAAGTTGAGGAATAGTGTGATTACTACTATTTGAGGGTGGTCTCAATTATATATTCTGATCGTTTCACACTGATAATAGTTCTAGAAGCGATTATCTAACAATGCAATCTTTGCTATTACAGAAAGTCTTTTGCAACACCTCCCAAAGAAAGTGAAAAGGAATAGCTGGCAGGCGAAGGGACCCTATTCTTTTGTTTTTTTTTTCCTTGTCCCGGGTTATTGATTTATGATTAAATGTTAATTTTGATCTCTCAACTTTAAGGTTTATATAATTTCATTCATTAACTTATTTATGCATTTTTTTTTTTGTTTTTTGACTATGAAAAATATATTTTTTAACTTTTTTCTCCGTTAGTTCATTAAGTTTGTCTAAATATATACATTTTTAATTTCTCAATTTTAAGTTGAATGATGAAAAATGTGCATTTATTAGAAGTTGAGGGACTAAAAATGTGTAAATTCAAATAGACTTAATGGATTAATTGACAAAAGACTAAAAAAATGCATTTTTAATAATTAAGGGATAAAAAACTTGCATAAAAAAGTTAAGGTATGAAAATTATGTAAAACCTTAAAGTTGAGGGACCAAAATTGACATTTAACCTTTATTTATTTATCTTTCTCTTGTTGCTTGGCAATTGGCATGTTTGTTTGCTTTAGGTTAAAGCTCATTCTTTATGTAGGTTTTACCTTGCTGTCGTGCATGTCTCGTCCCTCTTAATCACAGTAAGGCTAGGTAAATTTTGAAGTTTGGTTTTTGATTTTCTTGGTGGTTGCATGGTCTATATGGTACATAAGGAACTCTATTATACACAATTCACAACAATGGGATGAGGATAAAACTTTTGACTTAATCCAAAGGAGAACATTTGCTTGGATAAGGGGAAAATCTACTAACACTATGTTTCCTTTTTTCTATTGGTGCAATTCCCCTAGTACATGTGTCCAAGAAATTCCCAAGAGATAGATCTAACATTGCAGTTTTCAGTCATCATTATAGTTTTTGGAACAATTCCATAGCTTGAGGATGTTTTCATTGTCTCCGAATGTATTTATTATTGTATTTGCTATGACTTTTTAATGTTACGGGTTGAGTACCTCTTATACTCCTACATATAATAAATTTTCATTCATCTAAAAAAAATAGATCCAATTTGTTTCGATTGAGGTTTTCAAGTTTTGCGACGTCTTGGGGCCTTTAGTTGCTTTTTTTTTTCTTTTTTTTTTTTTAATACAATGAATCTCTGAGCAGTGTTGGCAACTAAAAGATGATTTGGATTTAACCAAATTTTCAAGTGACAGTTTTTATTTTATTTTTATGTTGTTTTCCTTTATAGGGAGTGCTTTAATTGCTTTGATTCTTTTGATAAGAGTCATTAGGTTTTCATCAGCCTTGCAATGGGATAGAAAATAATCATATTGTTAGATTCGTTGTTCTGTTATATGTATTTGTAATTTTCTCATTTATGGAATGAAATACCTGAAGATTTTACATAAAAAGGGAAAAAAAAACTTTACTAATATGTAAATAAAATAATAATAATAATAGCGAAGTGGATCTCATTTTACTGATGATAAGTTAAATAAAATATTCCTAATTGAGATCTAATTTCATCAACAATAGGAAGCACTAAAGTTGCTTAAAGGTTAAATCTATTGGCAAGTATGTTTTTTTGTAGATTAAATTTAGGATTTAAGTTTTAGGGTCATCATCTAAAGAATGAAAATAATTTGTACATGTTTTTGGTTCAATATATACACTTGTTAACTGTCATTGATTCAACTATCCCTACTAAAGAGTAGAGCATTAGCAAATAAAGTATCAGCAACCTCGGTGCTAGTTATTGATATTATGTCATTACCAATGTGTATTAGCTTGGTGACTGGTTAAAGATAGTACCAACTTTATGTGTTTTGAGGACTTAAGGATCAGCAACATAAAATATGGTGCTAAAAATACCATCAATAACATAGCACCTTGCTAAAATTTATTGATTTTTGTTGAATTATTTTGGCAATCAAGGAATTTATAAAGGTGGTATACGTCAATGATTTCAGCTATCACTAATGTATTGCATAATGCTAAATTTCTCCAGTAGCCACTAATGCTATTGATAATCCCTTGGAATGGCATGTCGATGATTTTAAATTACACTAACGTGACTCAAAATGCTTTTGAACAATTGACCGGTGGTTAATGGTTTTTGACAGTTAACTGGTAGTTGTAATTACTTTTCAACAAAAAAATTCAGTATTATGAGATACGACAGTGATTCCTTTCAGAAATGTATATAAATAACATTTCCTTCCTTTTTAATATTTGCTCTTTGTCACTCACTCTCTCAACTCAATTTATATTCTCTACTATTAAATTTGGATATTTCCTATTTGTTCATTCACAAGTATTTTTTTATTAATTATTAAACTTTTTTATCTTGATTTATTAATATATGTTTCACTAATCTATCAACGACTTTTTCTTCATGAATATGATAGCTGCTAAATGATAGCCAAAGATATTTTGATCGCCAATATGACGGTAAAAATATCTTGATGTTTCTCTCCTCATGTAATACCCTTTTATGTTAACTTATATATAATACTATAACATTAAAATTCTATTCAATAATCATAATGTGTTTCACATAATATGACATTTGCTCTTATATAATAAATAATATTTATTATTTTTTTGGTTAATATACGTTTTTTTTCTAAACCCCTTTCTTGATAAATT